GGTTTAGGGTTTAGGGTTTAGGGGTTTAGGGTGTATACTTAGGCCTTAAAGGGGCTCCTATATAGGTACTTTCGGGTCTAAATCTATGCTATATGGGTACATGGAGCCTTAGGGGAAGGGCCTTGTATGGGCTTCTTATTATAAAGGTTCTATAAGGGTTTACAGTTTAGAGGCGTAGGGCTAAGGGGTAAGGCTAAGGGGTGCAGGGCTTGCAGGGCTTAGGGTTCAAGATTGTCTGGGGTTCAGGGTGTGGACAAATGGTTAAGCAGAGCTTTGGACATGTAGCCCTAAGGGTTCAAGTACCTAATAATCATATACTCTCCCAAATATTAACCTAGAGAACTACTCTCGGTAACTAAAGTACCTAATTATTGGGTCCTTTGGACCCTTAGGGTAGGAATACAGAGATGAAATAGAGTTTCAGGTAAAAGGCTTAAGGGCTTTAGGGCTCCGGGTTAGACAGGTAATGTAGGGGCCTTAATAATTAGAATAGGGTTTGGGGGTTTCTTATTATAAGTCTAGTACAATGGGCCCCAAAACCCTATTCTAAACATTAGGGGTCCTATATTATGTTTACGATCTGTAGGATAAGCAAGTTGAGGCTTACATGGCATGGGGTTAACGAGCTTAGGGTTTCGCCAGGCTCGCCCTAAGCCCTAACCAGTATCCTCTCTTTAAACAGAGACGGGCCTTGCTAATCAGACTAAGGTTGCTGTATGAATGTCTTCGAACTTCGAGAGCACCCCAAACCCTAAACCCCTAAACCCTATTCAGGCCTCTATGTTGTCACTAATCCCTTCCGGTCCTAACACTGAAAGCACAAAACCCCGAGCTTCATTCCGGTTCCACTGTTAAGGTCATTACGGTTAGTAGGCTTGTAAAATTTATGCACGGCAAGCAGGATACAGTAGTGTTTAGGGTATTAAGGTACATAGATGAAGAAATTGGGAGTACACATCGTCAAGAAAAAACCGGCTAGGACAAACCTGTCTTTGGGATTTCGGGCTTTTGGGCTTAAAACGGTATTTCTGTTTTCAAAGGGTTTCTGCTAGTTTAAGGCTTCGGGTGTTTAACCCCACATACACCCTAAACCATTCCCTAACCCCCCAAACGCACAGATCCCAAACATCCAACGGGGCCTCGGCTTCGGAGTTGTCGTGACTTTGCAGTTTAAGCTTATAGGGTATTGAGGATTAAGGTTGGGGTTTAGGGGGGCTTAAGGCGCAATTGGCGCTCATAAAGCTTGAAGGTTTAGGAACAGGTTGGAGAATTTCAGGTCTAGTCTTGGGCCCAGGGTATAAATCAAGGCCACCAAGAACCCTACACTGTGAACACAGAAATGAGGGTTTCCGAAAATAGGGGACTCTAATATAGTACCCCAAATAGTAGGATGCTCAATATAAGGACCCCCCCAAAAAAGGTACCCCTTAGTTTCGGAAACTTCCAAATCGCTGTTAACACCGAACATGACGCATCGAGACACCTCCGGGGTGGAAGAAGATCGTGGGTCCCCCCAGAAAGGGGTGCTTCATGCACTAGACTGCTAGACCCCATGCAGGCCTTAAAACCAGAATCGGCGTCCGACACCGTAAACTCCAAGTCGTGCAGCGAGAATCGTGTACCCTGATGCGAAGAACCCTAGTCTGATCATTCAAGCCCCTCCCCAGCCATCAAGAACTGACGTAACCTTCCAAAGGACTGGTCTGGATTAAAGGAAACTACAGGTGGGGAGTTTTTGGTATATAGGGCTTCTATAAGGCTCCTATAGCGGTAACTACCCACCTGAAAATGTCCTGGTCTGGAGGTCATAAGGCGAACGAACCCTAATCGTTCGAAGGCGCCACGACCGAAGAAGCATCAGAGCTTACACCCAAGCGCCTGCAGCGTGGCTGCAGAGATTTATAGGGGATCTGTAGTCAAGCCTCTTATGATAAGCGCCTTAAAAAAGGATTCTATAGATGGAAGATTAGACAGAGGCTTTGTGGGTTTAATTGCATAAGGCTTCAGAGTCTGGGGGTGAAAGGGCTTTTCGGGTGTAGGGATCGGTTTTCGTTTAAGGGTTAAGGGCTTACCCATAGGCTCCCTAGTAGTTCCTTTAAACCACAAAAAGGAACTACTATGGAGCCTATGGGTATCCATTTGTTTCAGTTGGGTTTAGGAGGGCAAGGGCACCTTGTACCCCTGACGATGCCACTGGCTTACCCTGTGGGGGCTTTAACAGTCCATGTTCGCGGTCTTGAAATCGTAAATTTGAATCAGTGTCCTGCTGCAAGCAACAAAAGAAGCAACGCTAGGCTATCTCTGAGCTCCAGCTGGGTAGTTCTCTAAATTAGGGTCCCTTTTGGGGTACCCTAAATAATAGGTGCCGTATTATAATAAGGACCCAAAAAGGGACCATAATTTTGACAACCACCCAGCTTGAGCCCTAGCCACTTTAGGTTTGAGGGCGTTTTGCAGCTCCGCCTTTCGAGGATGCTTGCAAGCTATGAATGAACTCTTCATGGGTAGTTCTCTAAATTAGGGTCCCTGTTTAGGTCCCCAATATAGTACCCTTATAAAAAGGACCCCCCTAAACCTTAAACCCTAAACCCTCCAAAAGGGACCCTAATTTAGAAAACTACCCTCATGTAAAGGACTGATCAGAGGCTTCGAACATCTCCCAGCGGCCATTCCGTTCCCTGCACAGTTTAGGCTTTAGGGTTTATAGGGGTTTATAGGGTTTAGGGTTCAGGGTTTAGGGGTTTACAGGGTATAGGGTTTAGGGGTTGATGGCTTAGGGGTTTATAGGGTTTAGGTTTTAGCTTAGGGGTTTATAGGGTTTAGGGCTTAGCTTAGGGGTTTATAGGGTTTAGGGTTTAGGGGTTTGGGGGGGTTTAGGGGCCTGGGGTTTAGGGTTTACGGGTTTAGGGTTTTGGTTTAGGGGTTTAGGGCGTGTATGCGCAGGATTCTGTCCATCAGTTTGGAACATCCCAGGGCCACATGCTCCTCCCTGATAAATCCTTCACGCCCCACAAGCCCAAAAACCCAAACCCTAAAAACCCTAAGCCCTAAACCCGATAAACCCTATGAGCCATATAAGCCCTATAAGACCCAAGCCCTAAACCCTGAATAAAGCCTAAACCCAGAACTCTACCGTCCCTGTTTGAGGACTTGAAAAGGAGCAGAGATCAAGGGTTTAGGGTTTAGGGTGAAATGGCCTTGCGTCGATCGTCACTTGGCAGAGCCTGCGTCGGAGGGATGCTACGGATTGGGGGCCCCCCCGTGCTGTAGCTTGGGATGGGTTTGATATTTGGAGTGTGGGGTTTTCGATTTATGCTGTATTTTGGCGGCTTGGGATTCGTTTAGATCGACGTGGATAGGGCATGCTAGGGTTCAAGGACTTGCAGGGTTTAGGGTGCAAGGCTTAGTTTAAGGCTGAGCTGCTAAACCCTAAGCCGCTACGCCCCATAAGCAGGGCGTAGGCCGTCGGAGAGTGATTGACTCAGGGTCTGGAATGTCGCAGTGAATGGGGCGTCAGGTCGGCTTCAAGGGTGTAGTGTAAGAGCCTGAATAATTAGAATAGGGTATAGGGGGTTCCTTATCTTAATTATAGTATCATCTACCCCAAAACCCTATTCTAATTATAAAGGCCCCTATAGTATCATGGTTAGCCGGCAGATTCACGAATGAAGCTTCCAGGATGCGGCTCAGGCTTTGGGCTCAAAGATGCGGAGCTCTGATGGGGAGTTGATGGTTTGCTATCTATATATGGGTAGTTCTGTAAACTAGGATCCCTTTTAGGGCCCTTTTTAATGGGGTGCCGTACTAACTATTTTGGGGACCCCAAAAAGGGGCCCTAATTAAGAGAACTACCCATATCCCTAAACTCCCAAACCGTAAACCCTGAATCGCTGCCCTGCTTCACTTCACGGTGCAGGCGAACTTTGTGGGTTTCAGGGCTGTTCTGCACACGTCGCTCATTCTCGGCAGACCGCATCAGCAGCATGCTCAGCATCATCACCACTGTCACTTTCATCCTTCTTCATCATCGCCAGCAACGTTCCCTATGTGCCTATAAAGACAAAGCATAAACCCCAATACCGCCCCAAGATCGGGTAGCCCACGCCCTCGAAGGAACCAGAGACCCAGAAGCCCTGAATTCCCAAGCCTTCGAGACCAAGAACCGAGAAGGCTTCGGGATTCAGCGCTGTGACCCCTAAGCCATAAACGGTGAGGCACCCAACTCCCGTACGCTTCAGGTCCAGTAGGACAGAAAACTTAACCTGGAAAACCTGTGCAATCCCAAAACCTGAGGACCTGTCCCCTGTCCCACAACAGCAAAGCTTGAGTTTTCAGTCATGAGTGCCGTAAACCCTAAACCCTAAACCCCCCTACGCACCCCCAGGTCTGAATACCTGAACCCACCAACCCTAAGCTTCAAATCCTAAACTTTATAGACCTCTGGGCCTCGAGCTGAAGACAAAGACCAATCCTGAACTCCTAAATGAATTCAACAAAACCCACGAATCTTAAAACAAATATATATATATATATATATGTATATACATAATCGACTCTTATTGTGTAGGATGGACTAAGAACCCACCCAAACCTGCATTGTGTATGAATCGAAACCCATGCAATCCTGAAGCGCCCGATTCTTGATGAGAACCTAAATCTTATAAAGCTTATATAGCCCTGAAACCCCCAAACCGTCGCAACCCGGAAACCCCACATCATCCTAAAACGTTATTGTCAAAATTCACCCATCCCCAAACCCTCGGTCCCCCAGAAACCTGAACACCTCCAACCCAAAACCCCTCAGCCTCACAGCGCTGCGCCAGCGCTGTCAACGCCGGCTGCAGCAGGAACCAAGGCCTCGCAAGGAGCAGGGACTGCAAGACTAAGACTGTTGCTGCAGAAAGGGGGTTGACCCCTCGAAATTCCTCTCCGCATGCATCTCCGCATGAGCCGCTAGAGACTCCTATGTAGTGTCTCTTTTTGACTCCCGTGCTTTCTCGTCATCCGGCCATCGGGCTGCAGGGCATTTCTCCGGGCAAGCGCGTGTTGAAGACTTCTGCACCCTGGGAGATGCGACGCCGATGGCCAAGGAGCGACGGCAATGCGTGCGGTGGCGGAGGCTGCGCAGTGGGGGCAAGCATCTCCTTTCTGTCTGCACGCATGCCCTGGTCCCACGTCCTAGCCGGAGGGAGCTCCAACAAAGGATAAGCCACAGAATGCGCATGGCTCATCGTCTGCTGCGCGGTGTAGCCGTCGGGCGCCCCGGCAGGCTCTGCACCGGTGATGAAGTCCAATGCAGCCATTACGGAGTTGTATACTCCAAGCCTATACTGAACTTAGACCCCTAGCAAAAATTTATCATTTTAGTTGCTTCTTTTTGTTTATAGTAGCCAAAAATTAAAACTATTTCTAAGTGCCCCTAAGAAGCATCCAGAGCGTGCTCTCCATCTTCGGCTCATCTCCACAGCTGCAGCGGAAGGTCCGGCCCTGCAATTTCTCAAGGCAGTGCACGCAAACGGCGTGGGAGCACTTCCTTGGTCCCTGTTAGGAAGGAGAAGGAAAACAGATCCTTCTTATGGGCTCCCTGGCCCTTAAACCATCGGGAAATCCAAACCACAACGAGCAAACAGGATGCCTAATATCGGAGGGAAAGACGAACCAGACTCTCTTTTGGGGCTCCCTGAACCTGAGAGGAAATCCAAACCACAACGACCAGCGGCCCTAACGCCTAAATAAACCCTCAACCCAAAACCCTACACCCTAAATCACCCTAGACCCTAAACCTTATAGATCCTATACCCCAAACCCTAAATCCTAAACCAAATAGGCTGACCAAGCTTCGGGCAATGGAAATCAAAGAAGGATCCCGGGGCCTGCTTGCAGCGGCTGCAGGGTTCTGGTGCTGACTGATGGGAACCTAGGTTCCGCAGCATCTCCGGCTGCTACACTAAGAAAGGGTACCCTTTTTCCGCTTATACAATCAGCTTTAACGAGAGGACCC